ACCCAAGGCCGGCTGGCTCCGAGACGGCCCCGCTGCTGGCCAAGGCCAAGCCCATCAGTGATGGTGGTAGCGACTCTGGGATAACGTATTTATCTGGAGCCCCAGGCTGCTGGGGAGCAGCTGGGGGAGCTGGGGGGGTTCAGCCTGGAGCAGAGGAGGCTGAGGGGAGCCCTCATGGCTGCCTACAACTGCCTGAGAGGAGGGGGGAGCCGGGGGGGTCGGGCTCTGCTCCCAGGGAAGGGGCGATGGGACCAGGTCATTGCTTTCAGGTGTTAGGAGAGAAAGGGGCTGGCTTCTCAGAACTCAATCAGCCCCAGGCTCTGGTTTAAAACAATTCAGCTGGGAGAAGGAGGGTTTAAATGCTGGGTTCTCCACTGAGGAGCTCTGGAGGGGAGATGTTCTTCTTGGCTGGTGGGAAAAGGCAGCTTGCTGAGGAACAGGGGAGTGGGGATTTTTCTGCTCTTGTCCCATTCCTTTGCCATGCTGGAACAATGGACCAAGACCTGTGGGTTCTCGCTTCCATGCCTCTCTTCCTCTGCCCTCTGGAGCCCTGCAGTCCCCAGGCTTCAGAAGTTGCTTCTGGGCACCCATCAAATATTGCAGTGCCCGGCTGCAGGGCTGTTCTTGGCTGTGTGCTCCTGGGGCTGGGTTGGACTTGACCTGCTGCTGGAGAGGTTTGGTTTAGCTCCTGCATTTTTTTTTATTTTTTTTTTGGCATGCTGATTTTATTCTCTCTTGTATTTACTCCAAGCTACTTTTGAAAACTTTATCGTGATAGATTTGGGTCCTTTACCCAGGTGGATGCTATTAGTACCAGCGTGGAGCAGGACAGTGACTCAGTAAAAGGGGGTGGCCATGTTGATTTATAAAAGAAATATCTGAAAGTGTTAAAAGCCTGGAATTTCTAATTTGTATTTTGATTTTTGTGAGTCCCCAGATGCTGAGATGGGTGCCATTAGTGGGTGCTATATAAGCAAACCAGGGGAAATGTTTCTATCGAACCCTTCCTCCATCTGCTCAGCTCTGACAGCTTCTTTGCTGAGCCCCACCAGCAGTGGGGTTTTAATTCTCCTTTAGCTTTTACTGGTGCTGATAACCCAGCTGCTCTCGCCATGGCTTCTTTAGGTGTTGGTCAGCCTTTGGGCTGGCATCAAGCGTGCCTTCAGCTGGCCATGGTGGGATTTAATGCTGTGCTGGATTGTGGTTTTTGTCCCACCTCCTGGATTCAGCATCCAAGCAAATGGTCGGAGCACAAGTGGCAGATTCCCAGTTTGTCTTCACTTGCTTAAACCAACGTTTGTTAATGCTGAGCCCAGAACCATCTAAAGACCTGATAAAGATCCAGCTACCCTCTGGTTTAGTCCTGCTTTTTCAGCCTGAAACCGCTGCTTGTACCATACTTGAAACAGAAGAGTAAGAGGAGTTGTTGGGTGCTAGGAGCTACAGAGCTACGAGGTTCTAAGGTCTGATGGAAGATATGGGTGTCGCTGGGGACTCCATTGCTGATCCAAAAGACTTATCAGGAACAATTCCTTCCCCTTGGGGCTGTCAGGGGCTGGGAGGGGCTGCCCAGGGAAGGGGTCGAGTCCCCAGCCCTGGGGGGATTTAACAGCCGGGCAGCCGAGGTGCTGAGGGCCAGGGTTTGGGGGTGGGATGGCAGGGGTAGGGGAACGGTTGGGCTTGATGATCTGAAAGGGCTTTTCCAACCTAAACAATTCTATGATATTCCTGCAGTACACCAGTACACCGGGGGGATTCACCCGAAACCAGAGGTGCTCTTCAGTGGGACACTAACACCACCAAGTTATCCCACGAAATGCCGTGTGTGACGCACCAGCGGCGTGCAGCTACCGCGAGGGTCTGCACTGCCCCTTCGAGAGGAGCGCGGGATGCTTGCCAGCGGGTAAAGCCAGCCTGCCGCTGAGGAAGCCGCGAGAGGTTAGGAATTTTAAAAGCCACATCAAGCACTGGTTTTAGCCCCAACTGGAGATTCAAGCATCCTACCCAGCATACGAGTAGAACTTGTTCAGAGTAAACTGGCTTGGGGCTTATTTAGATGACACCCCCTGATGTGGTCGCCCGCTATGAGCCCGAAGCAATCTCGGAGGAGAGCAAGGCTTTGATTCTGCTTGGTGGTGACAAAGCTGGTTCCCTGGCTCAGGGGACCGCTGGCCTTGGGGTCACCCAGGAGAAGCCTGAGGCTGATTCACACCCTGATTTTGGGGCTGTCTGCTGTCCTTCACATGGCAACACAACCCCGGGGCTCCTTTCCAGTTTTTCCCGATGCAATCCCTTCATCAAACTCTTTTCCATCTGATGCTCACGTTGCCTGTGATGGCCTGGCTTTGGTCAGGTGTAACTGCATAACCCCAGCCTGGGGTTTGGCTGGACGCTACCTCTCACCCCCCAGTTCCCCCCCAGCAGAGGTTGCGGTGCTCCCCGCAGCCTCCCCTGAGGTAATGGCTCTCCCTGATGTGTTGGGGGCGGAATTTGCCGAGTCAGCACCCAGCTGCCACAGGGATGGGGCTCACGGGTTTCCTGGGGCAGTCCAAGTCCTGATGGGCCATCACTTTTGGTCGGTTTGTCATCCGGGCTGCCCCCACTTCCCCCTTTGGGGAAATCCCCTTTCCTGCCCCATCTCCCTGCCAAGCCATCCCCTGGCGGTGGCCAAGGTCATGCCAAGTGGGTTTTAGAGCAGAGGATGCAGTAGTGCTTCTGAAACCAGCCACCACTAACCAAAAGGTTCATGCACCCCATAAAAAGCATCAGGGTGGGTTTTGCTGGGGTTTGTCCTTTTCTGGGCCTGGCACTTTTAAGCTCCTTGAATCCACTGACTGTTCATGGCTTGGTGCTGCGGCTCCTAAATCTATTTGAAACCTTTTTGCTAGTCCTCAAGGTGGTATCAGGGTTCACACGTATCCATGCAGCTGTGCTGTAGCCTTCCTTTTTGATGCCTAACAGCTAAATAGTCTCATTTTACCAATATTGCTACTAGGAGTAACCTGCTCTGTTCTTCTGAGCCTGCGTCGTGCTCTGCGAACACGCACACCCACAAACACCTCCGACAACGTTTTCTGTTGAGATCCCACCAGCTAAAAAGCCACGGCAGAGCTCG